AGCGAGAGCATATTGCAGCACAGCGGGACGAGAGATGCAACCGAATAGAACCACACACGCGCAGTTTTATCTTATCTATGGCGGGCCATGAAAGCCTGAGGAAATCGAGCTGTTCATGAAGAGCCGTATACAGGTCTAGCGACCAATGGACATTCGAATAAAAATGCTGCCTATGTTTACTGAGAGCCCCTGGCAAAATCCTTCTCCTCCCACCTTCTGGCCTCCCAAAGCAGTCTTCTTAGGCCTACAAAGGTGTTGCCAGATATTATTCTTTCCTCTGTACTATAGACACTTGTAGTGTTGCATCATACTGTAGAAATGATATGCTATTCTACCGCAATAGCTTCAACCGCAGTACACAACGCGCCGCTAACCCTAAACCCTAAACCCCTAAAACCCTAAACCCCTAAACCCCTGAACCCCTAAACCCCTAAACCCCTAAAAGCCTAAACCCCTAAACTCCAAAGCCCCCAAACTCCTAAGCCCCTGAACCCCTCAACCCCTGGAAGAGCGGCCCCAGGGTTCAGGGTCATCCGCCCAACGTGGGCCCCGGCACCTCTCACACGGCTGTAGGGGCTTGGGAAAGTTGGGGGATTTTGGGGGTTTAGGATTTAGGGTTTAGGGTTTGGGAGTTTGGGGTTTTGGGACTTCGGGCTTTGGGTTTGGGGGTCTAATTACATGGTTTCGGGGTTCGGGTTTAGCTGCAGTTTGGACTTTAGAGTTTGCGGTTTAGGGTGTTCGGTGTCTGTGTTGGGTTGTGGATGGTGGTGGGACAAAGTTAGATGCCTCTTTGGCAACATATGGCTGAAAGAAGAGGAAGCCGAATTGGACTCAACGCCAGGAATCCTAAACCCCCATCATCCACTCGGCCCCTTCTGCTCTGATGTAGGGGCCTTAACAGTTGAAATAGGGTTTTGGGGTATACTGTACTATGATGACAATAAGGAACACCCGAAATGGTATTGGTAATTTTTGTGCTCCTATAGTATACTCTTGCTGTCTTCCAACCTTCCGGAGATCTCTTCGTTCTGCCGGAGGCCGTCACCTTGATACTTCAAGGACTTACATACACATACATACAAATATAGATCTAGACAGATGTATGGATCCATTATAGTGCGAAGCGGGCGGCTTGTTCACTGTCACATCATCGGGGACATCTTCCCACTGCGATGTGCTACGTAACAACTGCCGAACTATACGTACATACTCATCGTAACGCACACACACACACAGAGACATGGGATAAGCTTCCGACTGCAATTGAAGGCTTGCTAATCTACTACGATTGGGGCGACATACGGCCACCGAGCGGCTGTAGGGATGAAGCGGGGACGCGACCTTGCATGGTCCACATAGGCTTGCATCCACGCCTGCGCTGCTGCTACGGCGCCTTCTCGCCGCTTCTTCTAATGATGACCACGTACTGCTACCGGAATCTTCTACATGCGACCCCCGTTCGGATAAACTTGCAAAGCCGCGAAGAGAGCAGACATACCTCTCAAGCCTCTCTTCCCGCCTCGTGAGTACGCGCGACTTCCTGGTGCACAGAACTCTTGCACTTGACCGAGCTCCGTCGTTGAATGGTTGTGCAGTCGTCAGCGCTGCGCTCCGATGGCAACCATCCGAATGACTATGGCGCTCGCTGCTTTGGCAGTGGCTGCCGGTGGAACACCGGGTATTCATACTGGTTGATGACGATTCGGAAGTCCTACCTGCTACTGGTACTCGCTCCATTCACTAGGAATTGCCCGTTTCAACTTGTCGCAGAGCCGTACAACCTGAACAACGAGAGCATCATCTGTAGGAGTAGAATCCCTACGCAAGGTTCTCTACTCGATATACAAAGCCCCTCAAATGCTGCTGAAGAGTTTGCTCTCCAGCCTAAACCTAAATCCTAAACCCCTAAACCCTAAACCCCTAAACCCTGAACACTAAATTAAACTACGGGCAGCTCAAACGGAGACACCGTGAAGCAAAAGCTGACGTCGCCCCTGCTCCCGGGTCCTGAGGCCGAGCCGTCGTCCTCAGTTCTCCAGGGTTCAGCTTTACTATGCTCATATCTTTTTGTCGTATATACGCTACACGAGACTATAATCTACTACAGTGTACCAAAGTAGACTGTGATATACTAGAACCTGTCAAAGCTCGCGGTGCCCTTGAAGTCGTCTGACCTGAAACCTGCGTCCCACTACAATGCAGCTCCTCCCAACTCCTCATTACCGAAAGCTGAGATTCTGGTGCACCGTGAAGGGTCCGGTGGAGGTATCCACAGAACAAGGCACATCCAGCATGTGGGCTCCGTGGCAGCAGTCCTAGAACGCACAGGCTTGCACCAACCGACGGCTCTGACTGTATGTCTGGTTACCATGCTGGCACTACTGTCATCCTCGACTATCCAGACACCCACGGTCCTACGCTTTCGTTTGATGTGTGAGGAGCGTGGCACATCTTGCTGAATGTGTTGCAGCAGCCAAGCATGTGGCGCATCAAGACAACTCGCCAAGACATCTCGCACGGGATTTTGTCGCTACGACCATGAAGCCCAACGATCTATGAGGATACATGTACATGGTGTGCATAGGGTCAGTCATCCCACCGTTTCAATCTAAGCTCTGGCGCAGATGTTCAAAGGTAATTAAACATGCGGAACACACCCCCAGGTGCTAACGTCAACCGTGCTGCACGAAAATGCACACTGCAACAATAAAAGGGCACCCGGCACCTTGCATGAGACATATAATTGGACACAGTGCACCATCTGTATATCTTGTCAGAGAGAGGGGTCTGCCATATGTAAAGCATACTCACGGCAAAGCATGCACAACGCTTAACACAACAGTTGGCTCATCAAGTCCAACGTGGTGGGCACCCTGTCGCACATGTAGGGTCACGTGTAGCGCTGTAGAACATGTTCATGCAAAGCTCTGGGGTCCCGTCCGTGCTTTTTGTGCTGGGGGAATGGTGTAACCAAACACAGTGATTTCTTTGCAAGCACATCCTTTGGCCAAGCAGCTAAGATCATGGTAATGTAACATCCGGATGGCAGTCGCGCCATGAGCGCATGCACTTCGTCCTGGCGGGATGCAGTGCTGCAGAACTTACAGATTCGCTCTAGCTCGGCAACTGTACGAATTAGCACAAAGGCAGGTAATGAGCCGTAGGTGCAACTACGACTGTGAGATTTATCCTTGACGAGCTTGCAGGAACTTATATAACTTATCTTACAGCATGATGTGGCTTAATGCGCTATCCCTTATATTACGCGTGCCGCAACTTTTACTTCGTAATGGTCGTGGTGGCGGTGGTGGTGGTGGTGCTGCTGCTGGTGGTGCTGGTGGTGATTGGGATCCTGAAAACCGGGCGGGGATTAAGTTACGGGGTTAATGCAGACCCGAAACCCAAACCCCCAAACCCTAAATCTTATAACCCCTAATTAAACCCCAAGACCCCATACCCAAAACCCAGAACCCAAAACCCTCAACCCTAAACCCAAACCCTGTATGGCTTACAGTAGGGTGTCACTGAAGCCCCGAAACCCGGCGCGCACCCGCAGAATCAAGGCGGAGCTGTCACGGTAGTCGCCAGGCACGAGAGCTTCCTGTTGAGGGTTTAGGGCTTAGGGGTTAGGGGTTTAGGGGTTAGGGATTTAGGGGTTTGGGGTTTAGGGTTTGGGGGTTGGGTTTAGGGTTTAGGGTTTAGGGGTTTGGGCTTCAGGGGTTTAGGGTGCACGGGTCTTGGGTTTAGGGTTTGGGGTTTCGGGCTTAGGATTTGGGGCATGGGGCATGGGGCTTAGACTCAGACTTGCCTATTTACTCAGACTAGCCTAAGCAGTAGAGCTCTGCAGCTGCACGACCTTTTCATCGTTCGGGCCAGGTCCCGCCCCACAACCACTTCTCTCTTACCGCTTGCAGCTCAATCAAACCGAAGCCGCAAAGCTGACAGAGCATGATGCCAAGGGGCTAGCTTAAACCGTACATCTGCGTAAAGAACGAAACCTGCAGGCACACCAAGAGCCTGAGACAAAGCAAGAGCACTGCAGTGTGCTGACCCTTCCCCCGTCCAACCTCCAGTTCTCTCTCGCTCGTCCGCACCTGGCAGATGTCCCAAAGCGGGGAGTGACTGAAACCCTAAACCCTGGACCCATGCTCCCAGACGTCCTGATCTCTATCCTTGTCCTTGCCATTGAGATGCGGCGGCTCTGATTTAGAGGCTCTCAGCTTCTAAGAGGATCCTCAGGCTTCGGACTCGGCCCTGTGATCGAGACCTCCCTTCTAGGCACCCACAAACCCTGAACGCTGAACCCCCTAAATCTGAAACCCTGAACCCTATATAAAGCCTAATTCAGGGCCCAAGATCTGAAATCCTAAACCCCAAACCCTTATCCCCTGAACCCTGCCGCCCTGAAACCCCTACGCCCTTAAACATTTGAACCCGCTTGCCTGGACCGGTCATCGGCTTCCAAAGTCCTATGCTCTGAATTCTCAAAACCCACATTTGCTGAGGATATATACATATATATATATATATGTACATTTGTACGCTGCATCTAATTGGTTGTTCATATTCTTTTAAACATACATATGTCTCTGTAAACATATATATATATATACAGATATGCATATGTACATACATATATAAACACAAGTCTGTGCTTATGTATATGTAAATGTGTATGAATTTCTATACATATATATATATATACTTGTAACAGGAAACCATAAACAGGAAGTCCTCTAAGAAACCAGAATAAGGGACTACTATGGAGTTCAAGCATGCCCTGAACCCGGACACTCATGGCCACTACAGCGAGATGTAGGATGGGGCAGACGTCACACCGGGTCTCCTCTTTCGAGAGGGCTTCGTCCTTGACCCATCCATAAGCTTAGACTCGATGCAACGGTTGAGGTTCAGGGTTTAGGGCATCTGGCGCAGCAGGGCTCGTACGTAGTGATGATGCTCTGCTAACCCTTAGAATACCCCGAAACTCTAAACCTTTCCTAAACTCTCTCATCGGGTCGCGCCTGACATCCGTGCCCTGCGAAGACGAAGACGAGGACGTCCCCCGGCTGAGCCTTGCCGGGAGAAAAATCTCGGATTTGTGTCCTGCCCTTCATGCTTTACTCTATGCGTTATGTATGTATGTATGTATGTATGTATGTATGTATGTATGTATGTATGTGTGTATATATATATATACATACCGCATGTGCATACAAACCTACTTCAAGTACTACTAATATACTACCTACATATACCTAAAACAGTCTGTCTTAGATATCATGCTGGAGCCAGTCCCGGAAGTAGAAAAATCCCGTCAGGCTGTGCCGGCGAGGTGCGCCGGCGACGAGCCAACCTCCCAGCTGTGCCAGGATGTTCGCACGCGTGGGCAGCTGCGCTCCCGACTCTGTGGGCGTGCCATCCTAGGTCCCGGACTTCTGGGGCGATCAGGCTGGCTCTCTGATTCAATCCATAACTCTGCTCCTACATCCTCTGGTGTCGACGGCCTCTTGCTACTACGGCTGGAAGATCTTGCACGGGTTGCCGCGAACAGGGATCGAAACCCCCCAGTGCTGCCGAAGCGCAGGATACTGATCAATCAGCACCCGCGTTTCTTCAAACTCGTACGCCTCTTTCAACATCCTCTCCCAGTCGAGGCAGTCATTGACCTGAGCACGCCAAACTTGAGGGTTTCAGTCGCCACTGCAGCAAACAAAGACACGATTTCCTGATGCCGCATGCCTGCACCCCAAACCGCTTCACGATTCCATTTGGTGAAACAAGCCTCGGCAGGCTCGTCTGGGGACCAGATTGAATCCTATAGTTCTATAGGAGGCCGGCATGCATGAATTGGGCATGCTTCCATGAACAGTTCAACCTTTTGTGCATGCTAGGAGACACGAGAGAATTGAAGCCCGAACACCGAAATCCCTGCCAGGAGGCACTACCTGCTGCCAAGTGGCGCAACCATACAGCTGGTACTCCTGAAGACATTAGCCAAGTCAAAACGGTATGCGTAGGATGGTTGCCAAGCATGAAGCCTGTTGCATCCTCCATATCTTGCCATACCCTTCGTAAACACAATCTGCTAAACCTCTGAAGAACTGCAGATGCTGCCCGAAACCCTGAACCCAACTACCCGATCAAGCTGGTGCAGGCAGACACAAACGCCACTTGACATGTCTCCGGCTATCAACCTTGCATGCCAGCACCTCAAGAAGCGACTCAAAAAACCACAACTGCTCAACTGACCAGCCTGGCCGGGATAGTTCACCCCGACGCAGAGCGCTCGCTTGCCCATGCTGGGCTACAGTGCGCCTTCCTTAGCCCTTACACCTCAAGCTGGTTGCAATTAGACATGGGCTGTGTGCGAAGATGCACGTGGGCTGGTAGGGCTCAGTGTACTTGTGACTTGTGACCCTGCGACAAGCGGTGCTTGGATTGTGTGTGCGAAAATATTTTCTAAACTGACAAGCCCTGCTTCTAGAATGCATTTCAGCTGCCAAGGCGTGCCTGACTATCAACACTTGCACATGTCCCCACATGGCTGGGAGCCACAGGTGGATGGACATGATTACATTTACAGTATGTAGTATACCATCACAACATCTTTTCTCCCACAGGTAGCCCCTGCTGGAATAAGCCGATGACCGAAATGGAAGATGCATAGGTGTAGTTGTCGGGATCGACGCGCCATAGCATCCTGGGATGTGTGGACTGGTTGGGCTTTTCGGGGCTCCTTGAATCCAAGGGTTCTGTAAACATCCTTAAGGCGATAGGGCTGTGGGAATGCCTGGACACGCTCTCCAACATGGCTCGGAGTAGTACGCGAAACCAGGCTAAAGAGCTCAGAAGCCGAAGACAAGACCTAGCGGCTAGGTAAGGCTTCGATAGCTCTTGCTTGTGTACATGTATGTACATTTGGTAAGTAGCATCCTTACACACACACAACACGCATATCCTTTCCAGGTGGCATGTCGTCCAGCAAATGGAGGGACCATTGCCACTGCGCGCATTTCTCGCAGGCACTGCTCGCGGCGCTGTAGCTGATGACCTAAGTGGGCATGGCTGCAAATCAGTCTCGACATGCTGGCCAGGATTGATGCAGCACATGCTCCTACATCGAAGCAGGGGAGCTCAAACAAACAATCGATTTCGACTTTCTGGAACAAAGCTTTCTGTTCTTGATCCTGCCAAGAGACTTTCAAAGGCTAGACGTTGTTTGCAATGAACACATCTCTCTGCGTGCCCTCCGCTTCTCCGATACTGATACCTGCTGAGCATTGTTGGAATATAGACCAGGACTTCATCCAGCCCGCCACCGATGCGACGAGAACGCTCCTAACTTCTTACGGAGGTCTGGGGCTTTCCTTTTGCCCTAAGTGGCCCAGACTGCCTGTACATCCAAATTTCAGTCGCAGTCCATGCCGATATTTTTGCGAAAAATACCAGCACTCTAAACCTTGCACCGCAAAGCCCTCAAGCACTAAAGCCGCTAAGCCCCTAAACCCTCAGCCCCTAAACACCCCAAAATTTTAACCCCGAAACCCTATAATTACCACCAAACTCCGAAGTTTGGGAATTTAAGCGTTGGAGCTCCCGGCATCAGCTGGCAGCCTGCGCAGTCGCATTTGCCAGAGGACCTGCTCTTCCGGGCCTATGGTTGGTTCAGAGGCTTAGGTTACAGGCTTTGGGGAAGGGCCTAGGGTTGAGGGGCGTGGAGTTAGGGGCTTTGGGTTTAGGGTGTAGGACTCGGGTTTAGGGGAGGGCTTAAGGTTGAGGGTATTGGGGTTTGGGGGCTGGCCTCCAAGAATCCCATCAGAATCGTACGTCGCATCAGGCACCCCTACGTGGTCCGTGAGCCCGCCTCCAAAGCCCACTCCCAGCACGCCGACTTCTCGCACGCGCTGATCGTCGAGTTGAAACAAATCCTTGAGTCCGGCTGTTGTTCCACGGAACTTCACGTCTGGGATTAGGTGGGCCTTGGGTCAAATGTTTCTTGGGTCAAATGTTCTATTGAAAATGTAGGAGTGGTACGAGTATGTGTCTGCAGCCTCAACTTGGGTTGCACTACTGACCAAGTGCTGGTATTACTTGGGTGTAGGTGTGTGTGTGTGTGCGCGAAAAAAAAAAAGGTACTGAATTGCAGGTGCGGAAAGTTGTGAGCATAACTGTAGAGTCTGCTAAGAAATCCCTCCCGTCCAGGTGGTGTCCATCTGGTGAACCCGAGCAAATTCAACAGGATGCTTTGGAGCAGTCTTTGAACACCAGCAGTTGCCGAGGTGCACGTTGGGATACACCTGTCTGTCTTCCATTTCTTGCAGGATCGCCAGGGCCTTGCGTTTGCTCAAATCAAGAGGCGGGCAAGGCATTGCCTCCAAAATTTGCTGCTGCTGCCATACTACTGCTACGACTACTACTACTACTACTACTACTACTACTACTATTACTACTAGTACTACTAGTACTACTACTACTACTACTACTACTACTACTACTAGTAGTACTACTACTGCTACTACTACTACTACT